TAGCTTTCGCTCTGTTGTCATATCCTGATTTCCAGCTTTGATACCTTGTGTTATTCATAAGGGATCACCGGTAACATGAAACCTAGTGTTCTGCTGCACAATTAAGGCTTTGATCTCTATGCTCTAACAACAGACACACACGTCTGTGTGGCTATTGCTGACACTTGGATTGCATTATTCCAGTATATATCGCTCAAATCCCTCACTAATGTGATAAGACTATATCAACAGCCTCAGATAAGCTCTGTGTTTGCACTGGCAGGANAGGTGGGAACAGGCTCTGTGGCGCAGTGGACTAGTGCGTTGGTGTTTGGATCAGGGGAGCACAGGTTCAAACCCCACTGCATTCAGCATGTCGTTGTGTCCCTGAGCAAGACACTTCACCTCAAATTGCTCCTGTTGCCCACAGTATTGCGTATGTTAGTCGCTTTTTGATAAAAGCGTCTAACAAGTGACATGTAATGTATTATGGTCTGTGCTTAAAGGCAGTCCTGCTGCATATCAACCTAGCTGCCACAGCAGTGCTGTTCTTTTAACTTGCATATAAAACAAATGCCCATGTTAATCCTCTCTTTTCAGCTATATCCTATGTATTTTACTACGGGGTTTGATGCTAACATTGAGTACTTTCACATTGCTTGAAGTCTTATACATGTGTTGTCTTTTTCCCCGTCTTCTTAGGAGAAGAAATGCTGGCATTCTCCCTAGTTTGGAGGACTTGCTCTTCTACACAGTCGCAGAAGGTCAAGAGACAATTCCTGCTCATAAATTTCTCACAGTAAGTCCTTCAAATTCAGTTCAATGTGATGCTGGGAGCTAAAGTTGAGTGTATGTAAATCGCTTTGGGTAAAAGTATCTAATAAGTAACAATGTAAGGTAATGTCCCAGCATTGATAAGTGCATTACAAAGTTATCTCTGTACTTGTGATTGCTTCCTGTACATTCTTTCTATTCAGAAGCGTTTCTAATTCCTCCATTTCAGGCACTTAAAACGACTGGGCTCCGCTCTGGGGATCCCAGACTGAAGGAATGCATGGACACTCTGAAAGAAACTCTGAGGAACTCATCAGACGGCGTTACGCTCGACAGGCACCAGTTTAAGAAGTAAGGCGTGTTGTGTCCTTGTCCTGTGTTTAATCCCCATCATGTACATCTACAATAGTGGCACTTTTTATCGCCTTTCCCAATAACCTTTTACTATTCTTGGCACAAAAAAGTTGTTGTATGTTAGTTTTTTTTAGCACATTCAAACATGCTTGATTGTTTACATTTGCATATTGCCTACATGCAAAAATGTAACAATTAAAAAGCATTTGGGCTATTCTGTTTTTGTTTGAATCGTGCACATTCATTACAATAGATTATATAAATTAGCTCTTCTGTTTCATAATACAAGAAGAATGGTATTTAATGTAAGGTTATGCAACATTGCATTTATTGGTGGTTTGTTAAAGATATTTAAATAAGATCCAAATACATGTTATACCCCACATGGGACATGAAGAGCCTTACGTCCTAATAACAAAGAATTTAAGATGCTGTAGTCCACTAGCAGGCTTTTGGTGTCTATGGTACCAAACAAAAGTAGCTCTCTTTACCACTCTGAAGTTTTCAGAAAGGTGTACCTAGTTATGACCTCCTAGAGTAACGGTTTGGGGGAAAACAACCAGCATAACTGTATGCCTATATAATCATAAAATGCCCTATACTGGGGTTTTCCACTTCCACTGACTGCTGTCTATTGACAGCAGTCAGTGGGAAACTCCCAATGTCCTTCCTTTTTCACAGTAGAAATGATTCTGTTCATGAAATGTTAGGCTCTCAGTATTTACTTTCCCTTCTTCAAGTATACATTTAAGTGCAAGGCTGGCAAATGATTGTTTAGAGTAACACATTTAGGCTTAAGGAGAAGTTTGTTTAAATGTGAGCATCAAAACGTCCCTGAAACCTTCTGATAATGTCACTACACTATGATGGTTTCCTACAGTTTGTGGATTGATCATTGATATAGTGATCATTAATCACTTTATTAAAAATGTAACTGATCAATATGTTATGTTGAAACTTCTTCATCAGCCACTTTGCATAGAAGTTTGTCACACTTCAGGTTGCAAACTTGGTTGACAAACTTTTCCTCCGATTGCATGCAGTCACTGTGTTTGAGCATGCTATCTGTGGTTTATTATCAGGTGTGTCCAGAGCAACATTGTCCTGCTCACTCAGGCCTTCCGCAAGAAGTTCGTCATTCCAGACTTCCAGTCCTTCACCTCCCATATTGATGAGCTGTATGAGAGTGCCAAACCTCTCAATGAAGGACAGGTGTGTCCTTTCATCTATGACTCTTTATTTTCTTTTTTGTTTCCGTCAGAGCATCATAATACAGATTCATTTCTTCCTGGGTTCAGTCTGCATTCAGCTGGTATTAAAGATATCAGATGTGTAATCAGTCCTTGATTATACATCCGCAGCACTCTGATCTGGTTTAAAACCACTGTGATGGCACACTTTCATCTTACACCTGCAGGGAAAAGCCACCTCAGAGCATGTTAAAAGGATGATAGTTGTGTTCCCACCTGCACTGAACTACCTGCTATTTTCACCAGTGGTGCTTGGTTGTTTTTGTCACCACTTTTTTGTGTGTTGTCAAGTTATTCTAAGTGCTAATTTCGAAAAGGTTTAGATATTTAAAAACACAGTTCTCAGTTAGAAAGCATCCGTTGTCTTCATAAATATTTTGGTGCACCAGTTAATTTTGTAGTTTACTCACGGCTTTCATGCTTTGACAAGTCAAAAGAAAACTGTCTACTGGCAAATAACTATACTGTACCAACATGCACATTAACCTGGCGGATTCAGACCCATAGTTTTTAATAATATTTGACGGTCACAGTTAATCATGTGTGATCAACTTGGTGAAATTAAAAAAGAACCATAACAGAGACAGTTAGAGGCAGGGTCACGCCATCAAAAGCTTTGTTCAGCTTCCCCAGCACGGCCTGCATTTCAATGTTCATCCATTCTGCAGAGGTTTTTTCTCAGCGTTCAAGAATAGTTTTGAGTTAAAGAATAAAAAACCGGCAGCTTAGTGTGGAGCAGTGTCAATAATAAGGGGAACATTGTCCTTTTTTCGTAGCGTTGAAACACTTCTCTGGGGTTTGTCAATAGGCTTCCTGGAAAAAGGCGGAAGAGTTGTTGCTATAGTGGTAATGTAAGAACATAAAAGAAAAAAGTAAACAAACTGTCATCTCCTGTTAATATGAGCCTCTCGGGGTGGAATTCTCTTGTCAACACATGAGGATTTGTGCTGTCAGTCGTTATTGGTGTCAGGTTTCCATTGAAACCTGAGCTCCAGTAGACGTCAGAGGTGGAAGGTGAGCCTCTGCTGCGTCGACACTCTTTCATCTTCCTTCCCGCTCTTTCAGGTTGCAGACTACATTCCTCAGCTCGCCAAATTCAGCCCTGACCTGTGGGCCGTCTCGCTGTGCACAGTGGACGGACAGAGGTGAGACACGAGTCCTGAGCAAGTATTAAAGGGACACCGTCATGTTTCTCAAATGTTTTCATATTGCCTTTACTGTTTGTAGGATGTTTATCAGTCATCATCATAATGGCAGCTCTGTGCTCTGAGTGAAATCACTGACTCCATTTGACTGTTGGCTAAATAATAACCAAATGGTATCCAGTGAGGAATGCAAACAAGCCCCTCCTGATTTTAGTTTTACTGCACTTTCAGAACCATTCCTTAGTTTCTAACTGTAAAATCAAATCCCCCTTGAGTTTATAAAAGTGTTTCAAGTGCCACTTATTGTTCATTAATGAGGTTGGGTGAAATACAAAATAAAATCCTCTTTCTTGAAGGCAGTGTAATAAATATTCTTAGTAAAGCTCAATATCTGTTCGTTGATTCAAGTCAATACAGTACGATATATTTTATAGTCCATACAGGTAATTTGTTTTGGATACAGTTCTACAAAAGACAACAATAATAGTGAAAGATATAATAATTTAACATGTTACACACATGACTTGTGTACAAATACACAGCTTGCACATACACAAATCACAGACACACCTACTGACAAAAGCGACCTATTGCACAACCGTCATGGCTCACAATTCTTGTGAGTGTTGAGAAGCTTAATGAAATGTATGGTTTGATTTTTTGCAGGACATTTCATTATATTGTACAGGTGTTGTGTGTGTTTAACAGTAAAAACAAAACCAGTATAAGGAAATGTACCAAAGATAAGTATAATGATATCAGCAGGTGTTTTGATCCGTTCGGCAGTTGTAAAATTCCATAGGTGTGTATATTAGTTGTGTTTTTGTAAGCGAGGAAGTCATAGAGATAACGCAATCTGTTCAGTGCCATGTTATCATGCTGTCACTGAAGGTTATGGTTTTCCCTGAACAGCATTCTATGAAATGATATCTTCTTAATAAGAACATTTTCCTTTGATTGTGTAGTCCAGGGGTCGGCAACCCCTGGCACGCGGCACCGTAACCAGTGGCACGCTAGGAATAAGTGGAATAAGTGTGCAAAAATATTTAAATTAATTTTCGGATCCTGAACGCGAGACCGCCGCCAGAGCGCGTCTCCCCGTTACCTGCAGAAGGAAGCCATGCACGCAACGCAGCCCCGCTCTCTTTATCTCCAGGTGACTTTCTGCCGCTTTCCTCCGTGGTGCAGTGCTGATCGTTTCACCACGGAGGAAAGCACTTCACTAATTGCAGTACCCATAAGGAGCTGTACAAATGCCGCAGTTTTTGCGTGGCTGTGTTTATTTAGTTGAAAGCCCAGTGGCGATCTGCTCATCTCTCATCGAAATAATATGCTACAAATGGGGCGGACTGGCCATCTGTGTGTTGAACTTTCCTGTCGGCTCCCAGACCGTAGTCGAGGAGGGCAGAAGCAACAAGCTTCAGGTTCAATAACCCACTTTAGCTTAAATGACTGGAGAGAGGCGAGCTGTTATTGGGAGGACGTTGCATTTATTTAGCTGTTCTTCTGTTTCACAAAATACATCACAGACCTCTGTTTTTCTGCTTTCCCGTTTCACTTCCAGAAACATACACACGTTCCCTCACTGTCGCTCTACCATTCACAAACACACCGCACCCCTCTCTCTCTCTCTTAAAGGGACAGCGATCTCTTCTCACTCTGCATGACCCTAATATCATGGAAAATCACAGAACGGACGATCGTCCTTATTATTATGCCGTTTAAACCAATTATTTAAATGTGTTTGTTAAATTCGGCATCATGTAAGTTGCGCTGACAGGTCCACACACTGCTTCCCCGCAGCGAGGCTCCCCCGCCCTCCTGCTGATAGTTGACGAGCGTCAAGCTCCTCAA